AGTAAAATAACAAACAAGCCTGAAGAGAATGAAAAGAGATCAGTAAGGTGATTTTTAAATCAAACAAAGAGAAAGAAACATAAAGAAAGAGATGAAAGAAATCTGAATTTGGATATACCTCCACTTGAGTTATAACTGGGCTCCTCCTGATTCCTTTGGTCTAGTGAGTGGGGAGGGGGGTTTGATTGGCAGTGGATTAAGGGAATATAGATTTGGCAGTGTGTCAAAATGATGGTTCCAAGTGCAATGAGAATTTTCACTGCTTGGTTGTGGGGATGAAACTTGTTGAGCAACAAGTTTTCTGATTGTCTGTGCCCTCACCCACAACTCCATCTGCAGCAAGGTGCTCCCAAGATCATGGCACTGTAGAACTGCTTAGGTTACACTCCCAATACTAGTTGAAAGAGAATCTTGTATTGGTCTTTCATATTTAGACTCAACTACCTGCTCCAATCAAGACTCAAGATCAAGATTGCTATCTCTCAAGACCTCACCTGTAATGTAAACCTTGCCCATGGACCTCACATTTGGGCCCAGGATTTTCATCTAGCTAGTCAATCTTATAAATGTAGTTAGTTGTTGATACTAGGGTGGCAGTGAACTTTCCCCACGACTCTATATCTACTCAGAGCTTAGGGATAAAACCTGCTCTACACTGCTGTTATCCCAATTTCTAAACTTGACAGTTCATGAGAAGTGAACAAAGAATGTTTGTTGGTATGGTTGCACTGTAAATTCTTCTGTATATACATTGTCCCAGATTTTTCCATGGAAATATGTAACTTTCATCTCTCAGCCTATGTATGTTTGAACTTTGATCAATAACTTTCATCTCTCAGCCTATGTATGTTTGAACTTTGATCAATCAAGTTTGCTGGTACCTCAAGAGGGTGGCAGAGGCAGTTCTTTTTCCTCAACACATCATCAACTTATGTAGCTACCCTGGAATGTGACCCAGAAGCATAGACAGCTGCATAACACTAATCAATTCTTATGGTTTCATTTCATAGATTGAAGCCTCTAAATTATGGGTCGCTGTAATTTTACAAACTATTTTTTACAAGACATATGTCTTGTAAACCGGATAGTTTTTAAAATTACATTTTTATGGGGGTAATGTATAATTTTACAAACCATCATCCAAAAATATGGGTTGCAAAAAAAAAGGGTTGCAAAATATGTGCCTTAAAATTGCAACCCATGCCCCATGGAGTAGAATTTTAAGGCACATATGTTGCAACCCTTATGTCTTGCAAACAATATGATTTGCAAAAGTACATTTTTGCCTTATTTCAAGGAATTTTGCAACCATTAGTTTGCAACCCATCTATGAGTTGTAAATTATGTTTTGCAAAACTGCACAACAAGGTATGTAAAATTGAATTTTACAAACCATATTTTGCAACCCTTTCAAGCAATTTTGCAACCATCAGTTTGCAGCCCATCTATGAGTTGTAAATTATGTTTTGCAAAATTGCACAACATGGTATATAAAATGGGGCTTGGAAAAACGACTCCCAAATTTTAGTCGACAACTCCCGTTTCGGTCGGGAGGTCGTCAAACGGGAGTCGTTCTTCCAATTCCCAAAAAAACATAGGGAGTCGTCGCCCTAATTTTACCTGGAGAATTTTCATTTTTTTTATTAAAAAAATAGGGAGTCGTCCGCCTAAAGTGTGGGAGTCGGCGCACCAATTCTGCCTAATATTTCACCCTTTTTTATATTTAAATTGACGGGAGTCGTCCACCTAATACGAGGGAGTCGTCGCACCAATTCCGCCAAATGTTTTGCCTTTTTTTCTATATTAAAAAAAGACGGGAGTCGTCCAACTAGAAATGGGAGTCGTCACCATATGGCACCCTCAGAGACTCCAAAAAAAGGTTGAGCCACTGAGGCCTCACCCCAAAGGCAATTTATCAATGATAAAAAAATTAGATTGATTGAGAAAAACCATTGCAAGAGATAAAAGAGATGACAAACGGGCCAAAAATATTCAAAAATGATCAGAAAAGTAAGAAAAAAAAAGGGTAAAAAAGGACATAGAGGAAAAAAAATTAAAAACTAAAAAAGACACAGGATAAAAAAAACCCCTAGTGGTGTTTCATTGGATTTTCTATTTTCCTCTCTACAGTCAATTCGAAAGAATCAGAAAATTGGGCTTCCCATCCCCAAGCCTCTTCTGACGCCTTTTTTTTCCACTCCTTCATGAGCTGAGGGGCAGCAAAATGTCTTGGGTTATGTAACTGCAAGGGGACAAAATGAGAAAATTCATGTAGAAAAGCAATAAAAATAGGGGGGTTGTCATTGGGGGGGCAGAAAGAAGGAAGAAAAGTCTGGCAAAAGGTGTCAGAAAAAAAGCAAACAGGCCTCTCAAAGGCATTTCTCATTACCTCACCCGTTGAAGGCATGGACATCCAATGAGGCTTTGAACAAGGTGATGGCGAATCAACCTTGATACAATCCAAAGCGCCGTGGAGTTTGTGGAACACGTTTTGATACCAATCAGGCCGGCGAACAATTTCATTGTACAATTCATACCAACTCCTAGGGATTTGTCAACAACTCCTGCAAGACGAAAAAAGCCCAGTTTTCAGTTTGGACAATTGGGCCATCGACTCCCTTTCCGTCTGGGGAAATTAGCCTGACAACTCCCAAGGAAAAAAAAAAGAATCAAGAAAATTAAGGATCAAATTTGGGGCGCCGACTCCCGCCTTTTAGGTGGACGACTCCCAAATTTTCAATTAAAAAAAATAAAAAATTGCCTGTGGAATTAGGCCGACGACTCCCAGGAATTGGAAGAACGACTCCCGTTTGACGACCTCCCGACCGAAACGGGAGTCGTCGACTAAAATTTGGGAGTCGTTTTTCCAAGCCCCTATAAAATTGAATTTTACAAACCATATTTTGCAACCCTCCAAAAAAAAAAAAAAAAAAAAAAAAGAGGCAGACACTACGGTATGGAGGTACTGAACCGCCACTTTGGCCAAAAAAATTAAAAATTAAAAAAAAAAAAATGAAAAAAAAAAAATGAATTCATCAGCCAATTTGGCCATACAGTCCCATACAGTCCTCCCATTGATGACCATTTATGACACTGGTCATCAATGGGAGGACACACTCCCATCAAGGACCGGTTT